AAAAAAAAAAAAAAAGAAAGCCTGATGGGAGTTCGGGGAACAGATGTTTTCCAACTTCCATACACAGTACCGCATGAGGTCTGCCTGCAGAGGCAGAGCCCCGTCTGTCTATCTGCCCACACCCAGCACAGGGTCAGGTGGTGACAGTGTGTCAGAAGAGCTGTGAACACCTCACTGGGTACAAATTAGCAACAGAAGGGCGCTTGTGTGTTCCACAAATAATAAGGACCATTACATTGCCATACAATATCACGTGGACCCACTTCTCATCCTTGTCCTGCTTGTGTTTTGTTTTCTAAAACATAGAAAAACCGGTGTTCGTGGATCGTGTGTGTTTTCCTAAGCCTTGTCTTTCAACTCCAAGCTCAACTTGATGGAAACAGACAGGCCTGGAGCGTGTGTGCGACATCTGTGAAGCGTGGCCGTGCATCTGTGCTAGGACGCGTGTGTGTGACGTGCAGGGAAGGTGTATCAGTTCCCCGGGGGCCGCCAGAACGAGGCGCCATAAGCTGGAGGCCAGAAGTCTGAAATCCGGGGGTCGGCAGGGCCATGGCCCCCTGGAAGACTCCAGGGGAGGATCCTTCCTGCCTCGCCCAGGCTCCTGGCGTGGCTCGTCGCTGTGCTGCTGCAAGCCCCGCCTTCCGCATCGTGTGGCCCCGCCCCTGTGCAGCTGTTTCTCCCCGTACCCTTCCTCCCGTCTGTCTCTCTGTGTCTTCTCGTTTTCTTACAAGCGCAGTCATTGGGTGTAGGGCCCACCCTCCCTGATCCACTGGGAATCTCTCTTAACTAAAGACTTCTGGGAAGACCCTATCTCCAAATTAACATCACACTGCCAGTTTCCGGTGCACGTGACTTTCAGGGAGCTGCTAGCCATCCCACCACGAAAGGGGCAAAGAAGATAAGAGAAATAATAGTCGCTGCCATCTAAAGGCCGACGACCAGGCGCCTAAGACTTTATGCACACCCTTCGTAAACCTTAAAACAATGCTCCTAGGGAGGCGTGATTTTTGCCATGTTACTTGCAAGCAAATTGGCTCGCAAGTTATCCTTCAGCCCAGAGCCTGGAAGAGACAAGGCAAAGGATACGTCCAGGCTGGCCCATGGTGCCCAGCCCGTGAGAGTCTCGCATCCTAGCTGGGACTGCTCCACAGGTGATCCGTGTGTGTGCCCTCCAGGGGACCCACATCCTCAGGAGGGCTGGTGTGGCTCTGTTGCTGCCACCTTGAAATTCTTCATATGTTTTTGTGTTTATTTTTGAGAGAGAGAGAGAGAGAGAGCGCAGGGGAGGGGCAGAGAGAGGGGGAGACACAGAATCTGAAGCAGGCTCCAGGCTCCGAGCTGTCAGCACACAGCCCGACACGGGGCTTGAACCCACGAACCGTGAGATCATGACCCGAGCTGAAGTCAGATGCTTAACTAAGCCACCCAGGCACCCCAAATTCTTCATATTTTCTGAATGAGGGGCCCAAAGATTCGCTTTGCTCTGGGCCTGGCCAGTCAGACAGCAAACAGATACTGTCACAGCCCAGCCCCCTCCTCCCAGACCCCCCCACGTCACCGGAGCCCCGCGCCTGCTGCCCACAGACCTTCTCTCCGGACTCAAACTCATTCACCCCTGTTTCATACGAATGCATCTTCCTCCTGTGTATGCTCTCAATTTTTTATTATAGAAAATTAGGGAAATTAAGGTTAGAGGAAGGAGCCAGACATAGTCTCATGATCTAAAGGAACAGCTTTGCACACATCTGCTTATTCTTTTCTGTGCAGAAGACTTTTGTTAATTACATATTAATTAATTAATTAAACTTGCTAATTATATTAACTACACTCTATTGACAGTTTTGAAACTGCTTCTCAATAACATACCTAGCATTTTCCCCGTGGCATTAGTACTTTCTCAAGAATATGCAGTATTCCAAAACAAAACAATTCGTTTTTTCTAAAAGCAAAATTTGTTTAAATAAAACTTTGGAAAAATACAGAAAATCACAGAGAACTAAGTTATTAAGTGCTTGTATCCCACCCTCCGAGATGGCTACTGTTCACGGCTCAGAGAACATCCGTCAATCCCACGGCGCCCGGGCGCCACTGAGCCGCCGGGACCGGGGTTGCCAGGGAGAAGCCTGGGACTGGTGCTTCGGCAATCAGCCGGTGGAGCCCAGAGCAGGGAAGTGGGGCCATGCCTTTCTAGAAGCGCTTCCTCCCACCTGCCAGGCCCCTTGCTATAGATGGCGGCTGGACATTGCGGTGCTTCTAAATTCTAGGATGGAGATTTTTATAAATTTTCTGTCTGTCCAGGAATTTTCCTTAATTCCTGGCATTGAGTTCTCCAACTCTGGTTTTATTTTTTTTTTTAATTTACAGAAGTGTATGAGAATCGGTTATTTATTTTTTGCCTCCTATGTGACAGGTATGAAGGTGAGGAACAGATCAGTGCTGCCTGTCTGCCTGCCGGGGATCCCACTAGAGACACAGGCGGTTAGTGAGAGAGAGCCTCTCGCGTGCCCAGGGCAGGTGCACCGGGCGTACCCCCCACTTGGGTCCCAGCCTTCCCTCTGATTCTGCTGACGCTTCTCCACTTAGGAAACCCCGTGACTGCATTAGCTTACAGCAAGGCCTTCTAAGATTGTATATCTGTTCCCTCCCTTGACGCATCTCAATTTCCTGCAGCTCCCTCCATCCCTCCAGAGGGGCTGGGGGCTGGCTCCCTTCAAGGAGCTTGGAAGTAAAGCCACAGTCCACTCAGTTTGTAGCGTCCCCAGGTGGCCAGGCCTGTGATGGGAGGCAGGACAGTGCTGCACCTGTTTTTAGGTTTACCTTCGCTATTATTTCCCTTGTTAGCAAAGATGAACTGGTAGCTGGTAAATGCTTAGTTGAGTAAATGCTACATCTTTCCTTTTCTTTCTGTGATTTCTCTCTTCCTTCTTTCTCTCTTTCTTTCTTTTTTCTTTCTTTCTCTCTTCTTTCTTTCTTTCTTTCTTTCTTTCTTTCTTTCTTTCTCTCTTTCTTAGGATTTCTTGGGCTAGAATTTAATTAGCAATGGATTCTGATGACAAATTTTTGCATGAGGGAACACAAGCAACTGATTAGCTCCAGAAACAGGCGTGTGGATCACCTGCCTGAGAACACCAAGAGGAAGGCAAAGGAGCTGTGTCTTGCTGAGGAAGAAGGAACCCTGAGACGCTGAGAAAAGAACCCTTTGGCTTCCTTATGCTGGGAAAGTCAGAAACCTCACAGGTGAGGCTTCACAGATTTCAAGCTGAAGTGATGTCCAAGGCCCTGGAGTGGCTCCAGGACCCTGGGTGAGGAGACCTGCTATCTGGTCTTTTTCTCTGGCTCCAGCAAGAAGGGCACCCGGGGCATCAAGGAATGAGAGATAAATGTCAGCATTTTCCAGGGCCTTTGGATAGAAAAAGTTATGCTAATTATGGGAGAGATTTAAGCTAGTGTACTAATTACAGACAGTAATAGTAAGAACACTATCAACTCGCCCTGGAGCTCAAAACATTTTACACTTATTAACTCATTTAGAACTTTATAAAACTCAAAACCCTTGGAGATTGGTCACGAGTATTATTCCCACAGACGGGACAGGAGTTAGCCCTATGCCATCCAGCATAGGAGGGGGAAGGGGGAGGAGGAGGAGGAGGGGAGGAGGGAGAGGAGGAAAGCCCACTGAGCTGCAGGATAGGAAAAGGCAGGAGAACCGTTTTCCATTTTTATGGAGTCAAATCTGACTCATCATACATTCATGCAATTATGAATGAATTGTCAGATCTCCCCTTCCTCTCCCCTTACTGTTCAACCACACCTGACCTTTCACCTTTCCTGAAGTTACAAACAAGGTTCTGCCCCTGGCAGGTATCAGAAAGGCTTGTCTCCCCCACACACCTGCTTCCAGCCACTCCCGCTGGGGCTCTGTGTTGGGCCTACAGCAGGCAAGGCTGGGCCTGGTCCTGCACAGTCAGCACCCAGGGATGGGAGAGGCCTGTGTCCACTGAGGGTTGGGCCAGAGGGCTGGAGGGCCTGGACTTTTCTAAGAGACCAATCCTGTCCAGTCAGCCCCTAGTATGGGCCCCACCCCTGCCCCAAATAGAGTGTGGGACCCCTCCCTTCCCTGGGTGCTTGAATCTGCCCAGTCTGAACCCAAATCCTGCCACAGCCTAGCCCTTTCCTAATGCCCTCGATCTGACCACAACCCCTGCCCAGCCTGAAGCCCTGGCAGCCGTCTCCTCCCCATCCCGGGATGGCTTTGTGCCTCCTCTGCTCACACACACGAGCGCTCCATTGTGCCTCTGGGTCACAGGCTGGTGACCTCCAGAGTGGCCGGCACAAGTGGGGTGCCGGGCCAGGCCTTGCAGATGAGGGGTGCAGGATAGTTGACTGCACAGGGGCCTGAGGCCGGGCAGGGTCTGATCTTGGACTCCGGGATGCCCCGGCAGCCTCCTGCCCCGGTCCCCAGCTCCTGCAGGTCCTGGCTGGGTGCGAGCTTCTCTCCCCTCTGCCCTTCCGCAGCTGTCATCTCAGGTCTAGGTAACCACCTGCCTGTGACCCGCTCCCCGCACCCGCCCCCCTCCAACGCTGCGTCCTGCCCTGTACAGGGCAGACTCCACACAGTCCCCTACAGAGCCCACCCCAACGCCATGTGGGACCTGCCCCCAACTGCTCCCTGCAGGATAGCCCCCACCCCAACCTGACCGGCCAGAGAAGGACGACACCACACCCACATGGCGGGCAGTGGGGGACCCAGGATGTCGCCCGCGAGACGCGCGCCCTAGGGGCAGGTAGGCGACCGGCCGAGCCCCGCCCTCGCCCCCCGCCCCTCCAGCACCGCCCCTGTCCCCGGCCCTAGGCCCCGCCCCACGCCGCCTCTGCCCCCGGCCCTAGGCCCCGCCCCCGCCCCGCCCCTAGCGTCACGTGACCGTCGCCTGCTTTAAGCGGAGCGGGCGCCTCGGGCCGGGGTTCCGCTCTGGCCGCAGCTCCTCCGCCCGCCGTCAGGATGATGTGCGGGGCGCCCTCCGCCACGCAGCCCGCCACGGCCGAGACCCAGGCCATCGCCGACCAGGTAGGAGGGAGCGGGTGGGGCTCCGGAAGGCGCTCCCGGCTGCGAGGCCTGCGGGTGCGAGCCTGCCCCTGGGGTCCCCGGGGCCCCGCCTCGGTTTCCCCTCTGCGGCCGCAGGCAGGTGGTAGGAGGGTGGGCCGAGCGGGCCGGTCGGGGCCAGAGCGGGCGGAAGCACCCGAACGGCTCCTTCGGCGCGGCGCCCCTCCCCTGCCGCCAGCCCGCTGCCCCCCGGCCGCCCCGGGCCTCGCTCGGGTGGCTCCACCGCCCGACCGCAGTGCAGGCTGGTGACTCAGCCCCACGAGACCCGTGAAATGAGGAATTCGCAGGGACTGCTGCGCGAGCCCCGCCTGGGCCGCGGCTCCCGGCCCTGCCCCCGCAGCCCCTCCTCGCCGGGAGCGGAGGGTCCTCTCCGGTCAGGGGAGTTGGAGCGGGTGTGAGGTCATTTGCTCCTGAATTTGGTGTGAAAGTGACCTGTGGCGGAGGTGTTGCTGCTGGCAGGCACCGAGGCGGCCAGCCGGTCTGCTGGAGGTGTCTAAGAGGACAGGAGCAGGGAGAATCCCCACCTCTGCACCTGGTGCTGCCTCCTTTCTGGAGCACTCTGGGGCACGCAAAGGGAGCGTCTGTGACTGACCCCGGGTCAGAAGACATTCTGCGCCGTCCCCCGCCCCGTGAGCAGCGCCACCAGCCCTGGGCGCTTGGGCCTTGGGCCTCTGTGCCCCCTTGGCTGCAGCCCAGCCCGTCTTTCTCCTGGTCAGTCCTGGGACGATGAGCTCCCACTCTGTAGGGAGGGGCCGGGCCTGGCAGTCGCGTTACCTGTTCTGCCACCTGGTGCCTGGGTTTTCTTTCCATTCTTTGCCAGCGGCCTGGGGCTTTCGGCCCCTCCTGAAGCAGACGGAGAGAGGTGAATCCCTCCCAAAACCCTGGGCCGCTGTGGGGGTGGCACTCACCCCCCAGAAC